TGGAGACCAGGCTGTCCTCGAACTCAGAGACTCGCCTGCCTCTGCCTCCCGAGTGCTGGGATTAAAGGCGTGTGCCACCACCGCCCTGCCAAAAGATAAAATCTTGATGACTTGTTTTGTTGTGCTTAGAGCTGAATCAGGGACCTGCAATTTCTCAAAGTTTTCTCCAATCCAGTTTACACAAAGTTGACAGAACTGCTCTCTGGTTTTGGTAATCTCAGGGACAACTCTGGGTGAATGGATTATTCAATGAACTCTATCAAGAGCTACAAGTCACAGCCCACCCTGGCCACTTAGACACACAACAGCATGCTACCTACCCATCTAAAGAGCCCACATGGGGGCTGGAGCTAAGAAGCTAAGAGCACTGGCTGCTCTTCTAGAGGACCCAGGGTTCAATTCTCAGACATGACAGCTCACTCCAGTTCTAGGGGACCCGACACCCACTTCTGGCCTATCCCAGCATCAGGCATGCACATGGTTCACAGACACATAAATGCTGGCAAAGTATCAATACACATAAATAACATTCTAAAAATTAAAGGAAATTTTTTAAGTTCATTCAAAAAAAAAAAATACAAGGGACTAGCTTCACAGTGGTGACACGTGCTTTTAATCCCAGCACCTGGGAGATAGAAGCAGGAGGAAATCTGAGCTCAAGGCCAGCCTGCTCTACAGAGTGAGGTCCAGGGCAGTCAGGGCTACACAGAGAAACCCTATCTTGGGAGGAAAAAAATGCAAGGGGATTTTGAGGCATTTTTAACACCCATTATTTTAATACATATAATAGTACATTTAAAAAATGAACTACTTTGGCACATCTGAAAACAACAGGAAAGATCTCACATATCTTGACCTACTATCCCTCTAATAACTCTGGTCTGATCTGTGTCCAAAGTTTTAAATTCTTAGGAAGTTCTCAAAAGGATAAACATAATTTCTCAGCTGCCCTGGTCACCTCATGCCCCAAGTTATCCTATTTCCATACCCCCAGTACAGAATCAGGGGACAAAATTAAGGTCAGCAAAACTCTGCCTTAGCTAAGCAAACTGCTGATAGGCTTGAGGGAGAAATTAGAGGGCAGGAGACAGCCTCTTGTGTTTAAAGCTCCACGTTCGAAACCGAGGGACCATAAGCAACGATGTGAACCTTTTCCCAGAAGTGAGCAACAACCAGGACAGACGGCACTGATGAGTCTACCCACGCTGTCACCAATGACTGTTAACAAGAAACCCGGGATCCCGGTACAGACAACCTCTCCAACAGAGAGGCTGGAATTAAATCCTCGGAGCCCGTGATGGGCCAACCGACCCACAGAACAGGGGCGCACTGCTTTGGGCCAAAATTAGGTAAGTAAATAAAAATGTTAAAGAGAAGAGGCCTAAAGTCCCGAATCTGGAGGCAATGACCAGATACTTGTCCCAGTAGTTTGAATCTAAGGGACCGACTGAAAAGCAGCATCGGTCACCCCTTCTCTGCCCAGTATCTGGTCAATTTCCTCTTTTCACTTTCCGCTCACGCTTCCCTCCTCAAAAAGGTTCTGATTGATTTCTTCATCCTTGCGAGGCTTCCCCATCTCTAGTCCCCAGGAGCATTCCCAATACCACCGGGGCGGGGGGGGTGAGGGTGGAAGGGGGGGGAGCTGGCGCTGAAGTTTCTCTTCTGCACCCTTTCGATTCCCCGTCTCCCACGGTCCCGGGGCGCAGTCCCCGCTGCGCCCGCGCCCCCGCGCTCACCCCCTGAGAGTCCTTGACGAAGTAGCTGCCGCTGGAGCCCTGGTAGATACGCTCGGGATAGATGCAGCACTCGATGGCCACCTCGGCCTGCCGTACCACCACCTCGAACTCGGGGTCGTCCGGGAAGTCGTTCCGCTCGCGGTGGGTCTGAACAGCGTGCGCCGCCGCGGCCGCCTGAGCGGCCAGGGCCTGGGCCTGCGCCGCCACCGTGTGGTTCTGGCCCTGCGCCGCCGCGCCCCGGGCCCGGTCCAGCAGAGGCTGCCGCTCCCGGTCGTGGCCGGGCGAGCACGGCGGTGACGGGATACAGCCGGCCGCCGCCACGCGGACCGCGCCCCCCGGTACCTGCGGAAAGTGAGCTCCCGAGCCCGACGGGAAAGTGTACTCTGGGGGTTGGGCCCGCTCGGGGGACACTAGCGGGCTCGTCTCGTCCATCCCTCAGGCCGCCGGCTCGGGGACCCGGCTCGCTCCACACCAGCGAGCTCGCAACCGCGACCAATCCGCGGCACTCCC